TCCTTGTTCAAAAAAAAAAAAAAAAAAAAAGTAAATTCTACTTTGAAGTAACCATTCTTTTGAGAAAGAATTTCCTTCAAAGTTAGTTACTTGTTTTGTTTCACATTTTGAGATATGAGATTAAGAGCTTGTTGTATCTACAATACATAATTTTAAGAGTTGATTGATTCTTGGTCATGGAAACTTGAAGCTTTTGTGTAGGTAACATTTTTTTACATTATTTGGTCTGAAGATGAAGTTTCCTTTATTGAAGAAATGAAGCATAATCTGAGAATTTCTCTTTCATTCTACCTTTTACGTTGGTTTGTAAGTTATTTGGTAGATCATTTGCTGTGACCTGTGCATTCCAAATTCTTAAAACAAGTTAGAGATGAATTTGGTACTGCGCGTCTAGAAAGGCACAAGTCCTCTCCTGTATGGTTTATTGAGTGTGTTGTTTGGCCACCTTCAGGTGGAAGGAAGTTGTTTCATGTAAAAGTTTGTCTATTCCAAAAAGGATGGCTGATTATCTGGGAAATGTTAAAAGATTTCCTAGGAAAGTTTTGCTGGTGGTCTCCAGACTGTACGCTCACAATTATTGGAAAACGATCAAAGATGCTTTGGAAGAGTATTTCCAAGTCAAGTCCTGGTTCAATCCATCCCTGCCTGATAAGGATTTATTGAAGTTGGATGATAGTATTGACAAGTCGATGGAAAATGAAGATTATTTAGTGGTTCCATTTAAAACTCAAAAATGGGTCGAGAAAAAAACATACTCATTTAGAATTTTTCGAAGGATATGGAGGTTAGATCTCTATAAAATATTTGCCTTTGACATATTGAGAGCTCAACACGTTTCAAGCAATTAGTGAATGTTTTGGTGGCCTTCTTAGTATTTCTTCTAAAACACTTAATACGCCTGATTGTTTTGAAACTTTTATTGAAGTCGAAAGGAACATTTGCAATTTTCTTCCAACAACCATTGAAATAATGGATAAGAAGAGTGGAAATACTTTTCTTAGATTTGGTGCACGACTTCACTAAATCCCCCATACTCCACCAAAGTTGATTTTCTGTAAATGACTGTTCAAATTCTATAGATTTAAATAGACTTCGACCGGTACAGGAAGATGAAGTAGTTATTTCGCACTGCAAGCTACAAATTTCTATTTTTCCAGTAGTTAATGCATTAAATGATCATAGCATGCACGGTCAGTCTCATCAGTCGGCCTCCCTTGATGCTTAAAATGAATTTAATGCTGCCAGCATTGTGGTTTTAAAGGATTCAACTGGTTCTCTCTCATATCTCAATATACATTTATTTGTTGAGGGTATTATTCCAAAGGTTTGGATCCATAACATTCCTCAAATCATACTCCTTTCATCCCTCCTGAATCGTCAACATTAAATACTGTGCTGGTTGAAAATTGAGCAATGGAAGAATTAGATTTAAATGTTACAAATTTTGTTTCAGAACTGATTAATATGAGCCAGACCAATAGTTCCTCTTTCTCTCTTGATGAAGCTTGAGCATTGAATGATACGATTTTAGTTGAGACTTGATTGATGTGGAGACAGTGACTAATTCCTCTTCCATAACAACGAACCTCAGAATTCATCATCGGCTATTCCCTACGCCTATTGAGGTTTAAATTCCTCAAAATATTCGACAAGTGCAAAGACGAATTAATGAAGTCTCTCCATTTCACGACACTCGACGAAAGAGTCAGCTCCTCTTACTTACCCTATTCTATAAAATTCGGCATTTAATGAAAGATGTTCCAAAGGAATCATGTTCTCGACTTCTAATAACAATGTCAAGTCAAGTCTATTCTTCAGAAAATGTGCATCAAATATCCTCCAAAATGAGCTCCCAACATCACTCTCAATAAGATTTCTCCCTTCCTGGTTCAAATGTTGTTTTAACTAAAGGTGCTATTCCTCTTCCAATTGTGCAGGCATGTGCCTTCATCACCTTTGATTGATTCAAATGGGGAATTTGATGTTATTTTATGTAGTGTGGGGACTATCTCTCAACTCTTGGAATCTCAGAATGTTGGGGCTAATAATGATTGTTTTTTTGGAGGACTCTTATGCAAAGACTTTTGGTCTTCTTTTTCCTGATAATGAGAATGAGCCTCCAGTAACATATCCACCTGCTTGTGAAGCTCTTCTAGCAAGTACTTTCCCTTCACCAGCAATCCCGAGTAAATTCTCTTCTTTCATTCATATCTGTAATCTTTGAATTCGTAGTATCCCTCCAGTGTCTCCAATTGTTTTTTAACATTTATCTGAGTTAATTATTGTGGTGCCAACAATGGAAGTTATCATGGAATACTAGAGGCTTTAGGGATCATTCTAGCTTTGAAGAAATTTATTCAGCTTCATTGCCCAGATTAAGTGTTAATTCAGGAGACCAACATTGCAGTTTTTGGCTGAAAATTAATCAAATTCTTTGATTGATAGGCTTTCTGGTTCAAAAGAATGGGATCAATTGTTTGACCATTCAACGGCATTGAGATGAACTTGTATTTTTTCTTGCCACTTGCCTTATGGAAGCAAGTTTTGTTTGGGAGCCTTCCTTTTTTGGATTTTGTAACTGTCGGTTGTAAATGTCAGATTATGAGTTTACATCAGCAATTATCCTTTGTGGTTCAATGGAAATTCTATCCTAGAATGAACACATGGGGGTTGGGGGATTATCCGAAAATACTCTGTTTGAAGTAGTTTTTGC